CGGGAGAAGGTGCACGTGGCTCCCATTGATGACAAGATGCGGGAAGCAAGGCTTAGATGGTTCGAACATGTTCAGAGGAGAAGCCCAGATGTTCCGGTACGGAGGTGTGAGCGGCTGGTTGTGGAGGGAACGAAAAGAGGTAGAGGGCGGCCTAAGAAATATTAGGGAGAGGTGATCGGGCAGGATATGGTGAGGCTTCAGATTTCTGAGGACATAACACTTGATAGAAAGATGTGGAGGTCGAGTATTAGGGTTGTAGGTTAGGAGGTAGTTCGGTCTTGCCTTACTTCGTACCATCGTGGGACTAGCCAGGTAGGGGTTTTGTCTAAGATAGCTAGTGACAATGTTGTGTCTTACTATTTCACTTTTCAGTGAAGTACCTATTTACTAGCTATCGTTTTTGCTTTGCATCTTTCTTCTGGATTTTATGGTGTTCTTATTTTTCTATGATTGTTGTAGTGATACTAATATTGTCTCCTTTTGTCCTTTTGTCTTTTTGTTTTCTTGAGCCGAGGGTCTTTCGGAAACAGTCTCTCTACTCCTTCGGGGTAGGGGTAAGGTCTGCGTACACACTACCCTCCCCAGACCCCATTAGTGAGATTTTACTGGGTTGGTGGTGGTGGTGGTGGTGGTGGTGTTACCTAACCGTCCATAAAGTTGGAATGAAGACAACGGATGATCAGTGTTCGAATCCCATCACACACAAAACAACTAGGGTATTTCTTCTTATTTTCCTAAGTCTTAAGTGGGTAGAGTTGCACCACATAACCAAGAAATCCCCTACAGTCAGCACGATTTGAAACTCGGTGGATAATGGGACGCCCCTCTATCCGTTTCCACTTAAATACCATCCTTTCGTTCTCTGCAGGGTTTGAACCCGTGAAGTGTGCCTAATCCACATCACAAACTGTGCTCATACCACTAGACCATAGCCCAGGTAGCTACCGGTCCACGTCTTTTGTTTAACTATTTTCATGTTATTTCTAACACCAAAATACAATTCCCATTTAGTATAATCATATCAACAAACAAGAAAGAGCACACTTTTAGAAATATGATTTGTCCATCTTTCTAACATTTTGGACTATTTATTTATATAATCAAAATTTCTGTAACAAAATTAGAGAAGGGCAGCCTGATGCACTAAACTCTCGCTATGCGCGGGTTCGGGAAAGGGCCAGACCACAAGGGTCTATATCATGCAGTCTTACCCTGCATTTCTGCAAGAGGTTATTTCCAAAACTCGAACCTGTTTCTACAGCTCGAACCCGCGATTTCCTAGTCATGTGAAAGTCACTTTATGGGTTACGCCAAAGCTCCACTTCAAAAACAAAATTTAAAGAAACTCCCAAAAAAAAAAACTAAATTGAGACTTATCATTGAAAAATGAAATTGAGATTGATCATTGAAGTCATACCTTTCTCTCTTGTCCACCTCTACCGGATAGATCTTCATTTTGAAGGGCATAAACTTCAGTCCGACGGATTTCCTTCACTTTCTCTCTAATAGATTTTATTTCACTAGCCACATCCCTCACTCTTTTATAATGAGTAAGGTCCAGCAACCTACTTACCCCTTTGTCCTTGTGAAGCTTAGACTCAATAACAAACTTATCAATGGCGTCTTCAGCTGCGTTGACTACCGACCTAATCTTCTTGACCAATTCTTTTAGAATTTTATTCTCGCTATTGTATGCGGCTGCTTTTTTGAGGAAGACATCGAATTCCTTGAGATCTTCAAGTAGATTCTCAGCCGCATCCTTAATCCCAATAATCAGTTCCTCGTTGTCCCGTAGCAACTGCATCAAGTTCTCTATCAGAAAACTCAAACCTAAATCCGCCATGTTTTTTCCTTCTTATCCAATACTGTATTTGACCTAATTCAGTTCAGCTTTAGCAATTAGCATAGAGAGAGAAAGAGACTTTGAGGTTTCGGGGAAGATGTGCAAATGTTGAGTGGGGATGGTGAACATTGACGTGTACTTGGACATTCATTGGTTTTTTTATTCCGATTTAGTGATTCTTTCGTTAGAAACAAGAGAATTAATAATTTCTGAATAAATTATCACGGAATTATTATCTCAAATCCCCCATTAATAATTTCGGAATTAATTATCTTAGAATTATTATACCATCTGAGGTTAGTTATATCGTAATTTTATCTCAAATAAATATGGGATCAACTCATCTTAAATATAATCCCGAAATTAATTATCTCGTATTTTTCGTACCAAACAAGCCCTTAGTACCTTGTTACTACTTGATGTTGCTGCGGCTAGGTTGTGTATGATTTGGTAAATACCGAATTACCATACCGAAATCGAAAATTTTGATATTTGGTATTTGATATTTTGGTATTATGTATGGTATTCGGTAAGTTTTAAAAATTTTGACTTTAAAATAAAATATTGAAATACCGATATAGTACCAAAATATATATTATATTACACAATACACACATTGTTGGTTATAACATAAATATAAGAAAACTAATATTATACTTTACTTTATTCTCTAAGTTTATCAATTAACTCTAAGCAAGTAACAAGACATTTCTAATGATCAAATTTATTTTTTTATGTACAGTTTTCTCTCTCTGGATTGGCATTTGCTGGTTTTGGACAAAATTTTTGTCAACAAAAATTTTTAGTTTTGTACTTTCGAGTACTTTAATTAAGAATATTAACGTCTATGACTCTATGCACTAGTTAGTATTCAAACTGAATAAACCGAAGTTACTGAACCAAATAAACCAAAAAATCGAACCATACCGAATTTAATTAGACACGGTATTGGTATAGTATTTTAAGAAATCGAATACCAAAAATACTGAACCGAAATGTCTAAATACCGTATCGTACCGACCGACGAACACCCCTAGCTATGGCTTCTTTCCATATATTTTCCTAGCTTTGAAAGTATTGTTACTATCTTTCTAGTCTATTTGTGGATAGTTTTTGGGGTGAAAATCATTTACACTCCTAAACTTTGCGTCAAAAATCAAACTCCCCCTCAACTATAAACAATAGTCATTCTCCCCCATATATCCTACGCATTACCTTTTTTGCCCTTGAATTTTCAATTTTCGCCTCTTTTTAATACCTTTTTATTATATAATTTTTTTAATGGTTTTAGCTATAATTTAAATTATGTAATACCTATTATAAATTATAATTTAAGTTCGTTAAAATTATAAGTAGAATAATCCTTTAATAAATATTATAAATTTACCGTTATCTTTATACATCGCATCTGCGATGCGCTTCTGCAGGCGTACCTGTGCATCTGCGCACTTTTCGCTTCTGTGGTTCCATTCACGCACCCGCGGCTGCCCAAGCGCAGGTGCAGTTTACAGTAGAAGTTGAAAGCTTCAGTTGTGGTTCCAAGGTCCAAAAATGATCTGAGCCTCGTCCAGTTAACACACGAGGCCCCAGGGGGCCCACCCGAACATACCAACAAGTTTGAAATCATGAAACGAACTTGCTCGAACCCTCGGAACGTATAAAACAATATCAAAACTAAGAATCATACTTCAAACCAAATTGATTCAACTTAGAATTTTTAAATTCTTCAAACTTACTCCGAACGCGCCGAAATATACTTATACTACTCGGAATGACACCAAATTTTAAGTGCAAGTCTTAAATCACCATACATAACTATTCCCAAATTCGGAATTCCAAACGAACTTCAATTACTCCAAAACTTACTCCAAACCAAATTTAAAGAACTTTAAACCTTCAAATAGTTGATTTTTACTATTAAGCGCCAAAACGCTCCCAGGTTATCCAAAACCCGATTCGAACATACGCCCAAATCCGAAATCATCATACGAACCTATTGAAACCGTCAAATCCTGATTCCGGGACCGTTTTCTCAAAATGTTGACTGGAGTCAAACTTGGCCTTTTAAGGCCAACTTAAGGAACCTAGTGCTCTGATACCAACTTGTCACGACCCCAAATTCCCTCCGTAGGATGTCGTGATGGCACCTAATCTCTAAGACTAGGTAAGCCTATCAATGCGGAATAATAATAAATATCTGAAATAAATAAACTACAATTCAAACAATTTCAACTCCCAAAACCCGATAGAAATAAGTCACAAGCTTCTAAGAACTTATTCTCAATATCTCTATATGTCAAGGTCTAAATAAAATATAAGGAAGCAACATAAAATTATAGAAGGGAACTCCGGAGTCTGCGGACGCTGGCAGATATACCTCGAAGTCTCCGTGCGCAAGTAACTCACTGACATCTAGGCTGGTAAAATATACCTGGATCTGCACAAAAAGATGTGCAGAAGCGTAGTATGAGTACACCACAGCGGTACCCAGTAAGTGCCAAGCCTAACCTCGGTAGAGTAGTGACGAGGTCAGGTGAGGCCCTACTGGAATATAATAATGGCATGGTAAAAT